TTATTATTATTATTAAAGCAGATGATGCTCTTTCTAAAATAGTCCAAAATCGACTTTTTCTGACTGTTGGTTACTGCCGAGGTGTACCTTAAATCTTGACCAAGAACTTGATCTTGTTCTTATTACCCGTCCTCAATGAAGTGCAGACTTACATTGGTGAAGGCTGAGTAAGATCTCAAACAGTTCAAGTCTCTCAAACCAAACTCATTTCCTCCTACATAGTATCTTCTCTTCAGGAGCAGACGGAGAAATACAACTCTTCAAACCTCTTCCGCCTTGGAAAAGTGTCTTCTTCTCCTCCGCTTCTCCTTTCACTTTCACCTTCTTTTTTTCAAAAACGTGATCCCATAACGCCGTGACACAAAACTAATGTTGGACTTTCTACTTCCACAAGTAGTCGCCTTGTCCATTTCTCTCTTCTCTGTCGTTCTGTGACCCAGATCCGTGCAACATGTGGACTCAATGTCAACGATTTTAGCCAGATGATTAAATATGACGTCAATGGAGAGTAGACCTCGCCGTTTTTTGACATAAAATAAGCGTCATAAGTGATAAAAAAAAGTCTTTGACATCAGCTAACGGTTCTAACCCTTGACGGGGGCTTGCTTTTGAGAACGAATGACGTCACGTAACATTCCCATTTCTGTTGACACACTTGAGTGGACGACTTTTTAAAGTTTTAGTAGAGGTTTTACGGCGCTCGCAACTGCATAAGGTCATATGAGCGCCAGAAGATTAGAGGTGTTACAAGAGAGTAACAATCAACATAAAAAAGAAGGAGGGGAGATAAGGACGATAGACGTTTGATAGGAAAGAAGAAGCAAACCACACCAGAGCACCCGCCAACCACCCACATGGACGGCTTAGTTCGATAAGCCCCCGTGAGTTGGCTGTAGTACATCAGAGCTGAGCAAACTGTGGCCCGTGTGCCAAATGCGGCCATCAGCAGAGTTTTCTGTGGACTTTGGAAACCTTTCATAGAACTGACCCCCCAATAATTAATGGTTTTTTTATAAAAGAATATTTTGTAATGATCACATAATTTATCAATTAATGTATTTTGCGCGAAGACTGGCTAATGAAATGTCGTAAAATCCAGATGCTGTGTTTCATTTTGTTTTTATTTCTGGGGATTTTTGTTGTTGTTGTTTTGTTTTGTTTTTTGTTTTTTTTTTTGCTTTTTGTTTTTAAAGAAAAATATATTTTGTAAAGGTCACATTTATCAAATGTATTTTGTGCGAAGACTGGCTATTGAAATGTCGTAAAATCGAGAAGCATTGTTTTATTTTGTTTTTATTTCTGGGTTTGTTTTTGTTTTGCTTTTTGTTTTGTTTCTTTTTTTGTTGTTGTTTCAAAGTTCTGAAGAAAAGCAAATTACCGTGTTAACATTTGATTATACAAATTAATGGAAATTCTTAACGACAGAAAAGTAAGGTTAGCTAGTGCCTTATGTCTATTTTTGAGAAGTGTGGCTCTTTGTTGGTCACAACAGTGGCGTCGGTGGCCTAGTGGTTAGGCTGCCGGACAGACACATACAGACACACACACACACACACACACACACACCTTTTCGGCTGCACGGCTTTCTACGAAGTTCGTGACTTCCCCAAAAGAACCCCCAAGCCCCCTTGTCCAGTCAGAGGGTGCACGAGACGAGCATCTGTGAGTACCCACCAGTCATGCTCACCGCTACCAATCCTATTTGTAATACTCTTCAACACAAACAATGACTTCGGTTCGTTGAAGTAAAGTTCCTGTCACGCATTAGTACCTTTTCTGCTTTCCGTGAGCGGCCTTCGATCAAGAAAATCTTTTCAAAAGCCACAAGGTCTTGGCAGTAGACCTCAGGTATGAAGCCACATGTGTATAAAATAAGTCGAAAACTTGAAGTCATCAGCATCCTCTCTGGACTTCTTCACGACTTCACTTTCGAGTACTGAAATCTGTTTGTGTCTGATAGAAGGTGAGACAAATTTAGGATTCTTACTCTTCTTCCAACTTTGGCTGGTTTCAGAATTTCTCCTAGTCTTTTAGTTTTAAGGAAACTTGGAGTCTTCTGAAACTTGTCGTAACGAAACATTTTTCAGTGCTAAATTTAGACGATATTTTTGGGGTATCTTCTCCTAGTATGCTATCCGAGAAGCTGAGAACGTTTTGAGTATTCTATGGACTGCTGCTCTGGTAATAATAGTGTGTAAAGTGCATAGAGCTTGCTGTCGATCGTGGATATGCGCTATATAAAACAATTTTCTTGTTATTTATTAATAGTAGTAGTTGTAGCACACTTGTTTGTAACCTCCCCCCCCCCCCGGGGCGCTGCTTCTGACTGAAGTGTCTTTATGCCATTCCCAAAGGGGGGGACATTAACATGTCGAGTTCTTATGCACAGTAAAAGTGTAATTGTAAATGGGCTTATTCATCAATGTCATGCTCATAACTGTGCCGGAACTGCAACAGGGAACTGCTGCTTTTTCTTTCCTAATTCTTACTATCATCATTTTCCTCTACTTCTTTTGTATGATTGTCCCACACTTGTGACCCGCTATTTCTGGGGTGCCTTGATAGTAGAAGCAGACTTTGTGCTGATAAAGCTAGCTAGAGAGGTGAGCAGAGTAAGTCTGATTCAATGTAAGGACTTCTCTGTTGACATCCACCCCTTGGCGCTCATATGACCTTATGCAGATGCGAGTGCCGTAAAACCTGTACTAAATTTTAAAAGACGCGCTTGTAGGGAAATAGTTCAGCTCCATGCCGCTGGAGGCGAGCTACGACGACGCATAATTTCACCAAGTAACTGCCTAGTGAGATTCTGTGTCAAAGTGTTTCCGGTTTAGCTTTTTTTCACACAGCTTCGAAGCAGACAGCCTCCTTGGGTGTTCTTTATAACGATAATCAGAGTTATCAAACTTACAAGCACATAGTTCACTCAAGTTTGTGCGTAAAGAGTGGGGTGCGTTTTAATGTTTCCTGGTAAAATCGAGGGAAGAAAAAAAAAAGACAAAAGTGGAATATAGAGAGGGAGTTCTACTCTCTCTCTCTCTCTCTCTCTCTCTCTCTCTCTCTCTCTGTGTGTGTGTGTGTGTGTGTGTGTGTGTGTGTGTGTGTGTGTGTGTGTGTTGTGTGGAGTTCTGTTCTGTTAGTTCTCTTTTAAAACTCAGGTTTTCAAGTGATATAGAAGCAAACATTATCAGTGATTTTGTCTTTGATCTCATATAATTTCAGATCCTGCGCAGACCCAACCACAAGTCGTCACTATGTCGAGTTCCGGAAGTCGTGTGTGTAACATGCTGCTGGCGCTGATGCTCCTATCGGTTTGTCTCCAGTCCTGTCAAGCCGGAAAGCACAACTACCACAAACACGAGCACCACGTCAAGGCCCACCACAGCCACAGCCACAGCCACAGCCACAAACACAAACATGAGCACCATCACTATCAGCACGACAGCGGCAGCAGCAGCAGTAGCAGCGGTAGTCTGGACTCTCTACTTCTTCTGTTTCCTCTTCTTATGGGGGCACAAGGATAGCTTAACTGTCACCTTCTGAGTCGGAGAAGACGATTCATTGGGCAATTGACTTAACGAATCGTGGGAGCAACTTGGTTGTCTTTAATTAAGAAAAGATAATAAATGATGCATGAAAAAATAATTGTTTTCATTTGCTTTGATTCTGTATGTTTCTTCGAGGTCGTTTTTGTTATTTCTGTTTCTTGTCTCATTCGGAACTGGGAGATTGTTTTGTTTTTTTGGGTTTTTTTCTAATTGTCTGCTAGATCCCAGGAGAAGATTGTCAGCCCCGAGGGCTTGTTGCTATCAGAGCTATGTGTCGAACGTGGTCGTCATGATTTTTAAACAAACACACACACACACACACACATACACACACACACACACACACACACACACACACACACACACACACAGAA